CCTTGCATCCTAGCCCCTAGCCGCCTCGGTCCATCCTTGGCGACTTTCGTCGGCCGCGCCCCGCTGGAAAACGCTTATGGTACGGGCCGACTGTGTTCCCAAGACTTCAACAAATAGGTTCTTGTGGGTCCCAGGTGAGGGACGAGATGGAGCACGCGCAGGAGGAGGGTCAGATCAGCTAGTTCGAGCGGGTCAGAGGGGCCCCGCCCGCTCCCAGGAGGCCCCTCCAGAGGTTCCCAGGGCCTCCTCGTCATCCCCCTCGTCACCCTGCTCCCCTCGTCCTGCTCCCTCTCCTCGCCCTCCTTCTCTCGCTCCTCCTCCCCTCCGCCCTCCACATCCTTCCCGTGTCGCCTGCCGCTGCCCATCATCCTGCTGCTCTCTCTTTCCCCCTCGTCCCTCCCCTTCTTTTCACGTCTTTTCCTCCCCGATCGCGCTCCACACTCCTCCCCACCTTCACCCCTTCCTCCTCCTCCGAGCTCGCATGCGGCACTCGGTTACGGTTATGTTGGATTTGAAGAGAGCCTTCGAGAAGATAGCACATGCTACCCTGTGGGCGATTGGTTGCAGGCACACGTTTCCGAAGCGCAGGTTCGTCATGTTCATCAAGACTTATGCAGGGGGAAGGAGCCCCAAGTTTGGAAATATTGCCTTCAGGTTTATTCGCACTAACCAAGGGGTCATTGCTGGATGCTTAGATGCTACCACCATGATGATCTTGTTCACGTGGGGAGCGTACGACCAGGTCTACACGATTTGGCCCTCTCTCACGATCAGTGGTGTCGTGGACGATGGTAGCTTTCAGGCCTCGGGAGCGGAGAAGGATGCAGTACGGATTATCATAGCGGTGGTGAAGTTGCTTTGCAGATTGCTGGTGAATTTGGGGCTGGAACTGAGCCCGAACAAAGGTAATGTCATTGCGACGACGCCGAGAATGGCAAAAGAAGTTGGAATGGCACTCATCGATTGGGCTTTCAGACGAGCAAGAGTCGTTCGACAACTTGGACACGATCGACGTATGGGAGGTGGAGCTAGGATACCTACTCATCGGAGTCGTGTGACAGCTGTCGGGCGCAGAGTAGTACGATTCCGTAGGTTGGCCCAAGGTGGCAGGCAGATGGGTCAGCCCTTTCGATCAGGAGGCTTGGCATCGATCAGGTACACAGCCAAGGTGCAGGGCATGAGCGACACCCAGCTGCAAACGATCAGAGCCCTATTTGGGCATGCGCTTTTTGGTTCGGCGAGAGGAAGATGTAGAACGATTGAGCTTTTTACTTTCGCATAGTCCTAGGGCAGACCGTACCTACATAGCGGACGAGTACCCACTGGTGTATTGGCTCAAGGCAAGGTGGGAGCAATGGGTCAAGCCCAAGGCGATGGCTTTGGCTTTCATGCACGCGCAGAACCACACACGGTCGTGGCAGTCAGTGCAGGGACCAGCGGGGGCAGTACGCATGACGCTCAGGCGAATGGGTTGGAGAGCTGAGAGGTGGAACCTTTGGTTTACGGAGCGTGGCTCGAGAGTGGATTTGGATGACATTGCTGTTGGCACGCGCAAGAGGCTGATCAATACATCCACAACAGGCGACTTTTGGAGGCAGTGCCAGGCAGCCGTGGCATGGAAGGGCTTACGGGGCCGCTTATTCTCGAGCCAGCCCTGGATTTGATTGCTAACCTATGGAAACAGGGAGATTTCAAGGGCGCAGGTCTACAACGCACGTGGCTGACTTGTTGTTGTTGTTGTTGTTGTTGTTGTTGTTGTTGTTGTTGTTGTTGTTGTTGTTGTTGTTTCTCCAACCAAGTGGGGCTACATGCGGTGCAGTTGGTAATGCATTATGGTTGATGCTGTTGGTAATGTTATTGCAGCAGCCTCAGGGGCTATCCCGTTCCCGTGGTAGACATCTGGAGCAGCAGAGCTTATGCAGCGAGGCAAGCAGTTCTTTACAAGTCTCAAGGGTAGCCTCGCCTCATCACGGGCTTCAAGGAGCTCTACATCGGCTGGCAGACTGGCTTCCCTATGGCACGCGCTCCAGTCACCAGTATGCGGAGCTGCGGGTGCAAGTCTGGAAAGCAGTCGAGGACATCGGGGCTGACGAGATTGAGGTTGAGTGGGTACTATCGCATCTGTCCAAGACACGAGCGGTGGACCTGCAGATTCCCCTGGCCTACTTGCACGGCAACAGGCAGGTGGACTTCTACGCGAAGTGGTGGCCGCCATACATCTTCGAGACGTGCTTCAAGACCGAGCTCGCCAAATGCGGGAGCATGCGGCAGCGCTGACACTGAAAACTGTGCTGCGCATCCTGCGCCGCTGTTCGAGAGGAAGATGGGCGGATGTCACAAGGAATGATTTCGTTGAGCTGCTTATTTGTCTACCGTTGAGCGGTGACAGCGGCCACGTAGTGCGTAGGTTCAGGGGTAGATGGTTTTGCGCGAGGTGCGAAGAGAACCGTGCTCGTCGGTGCGATTTTGTGAATTTGAGCTTTGGAGGACCCCCTAAGGGGGCCCAAGCGGCTCATGGGTCACACCGTCTCTGGAAGAGGGGCCCGATGGTTTGGTGCGTAGATTGTGCTGCACGGTGTGTCAGTAGAGCGTATATGATAGCCAGACCTTGCTTGGGCAGACCTCCCCTGGGTTTTCCGAGGCACTTCGGGAGGAAGTACCTTATCCAGGGGAAGGGCCCGCCAGGCGAGAACGTAGGAAACGGGGTTTCGCAAACCCGTTCCCATCTCGCTTCACAGCGGACTTCGTATTGGCGACAATGGTTCTCGTTTTGACTTGGTGCCTCGTTCTGAGAGCCCTTCGTCGTCATCGGGACCCTCGGAACCCTCCTCCTCCTGCTTGGACCGTCGATCCCCTATGAGCTCAGCGTTCCCCCAGCTGACACTACCTGGCTTGGAGTTTTCGAGGAGAGCCGAACCTCCTCCTTCGCCTCCTCCTCCTCCTCCTCCTCCTCCTCATTTTCGTCCCCCTCCTGCTGCCTCCTCCTCCTCCTGCCTCCTCCCTCGCTCCTCTCCCTCCTCCTCTTCCTCCTCCTCCTTTTCCCTCCTCCTCCTCCTCCTGCTCCACCTCTTCTTCTTCCTCTTCTTCTTCTTCTTCTTCCTCCTCCTCCTCCTCCTCCTTCTCCTACCTCTCCTCGTCCCTTGTCCCTCGCTCCTTTTCCCTCGTCCTCTTCCTCCTCTTCCTCCTGCTCGTCCTCCTCTCCTTCCTCCTCCTTCTCCTACGTCTCCTCCCTCCTGCTCCTACCTCTCCTCCTCCCTTGTCCCTCGCTCCTCTTCCCTCGTCCTCTTCCTCCTCGTCCTCCTCCTCTTCCTCCTCCACCTCGCTCCTCCTCCCTCTTCCATCGTTCCTCCCTCTGCTCTTCCTTGCGAGACGTGAGCGTCACCGGGGGGGGGGGGAGGATAGAGAGGAGGGGAGACAGAGAGGAGAAGGGGGATGAGGAGGAGGATGAGGAGGAGGGGTACGGAGGGTGAGGAGGAGGAGGAGGAGGAGGAGGCGGAGGAGGAGGAGGAGGAGGAGGAGAGGAGGAGGAGGAGGAGGAGGAAGGGGGGAAGGGCTTCCGAGGAGGAGGAGGATCAGGAGGCGGAGAAGGAGAAGTTGGAGGAAGATGAGGGGGAGGAGGAGGAGGAGGAGGAGGAGGAGGAGGAGGAGGAGGAGGAGGAGGAGGAGGAGGACGAGGAGGAGGAAGAGGATGAGGAGGAGGAGGAGGATGGGCAGGAGGAGGAGGAGGAGGAGGAGGAGGAGGTGGAGGGGGAGGATCAGGGGGGAGGGAGTGAGGAGCAGGCGGAGGTGGCGGCGAACGCCCAGCGGCACCAGGTGCTGGCGCCGCGTCATGAACGATGATGATGATGATGATGATGATGATGATGATGATGATGATGATGATGATGATGATGATGATGATGATGATGATGATGATGAGGATTAGGATGAGGATGAGGATGAGGATGAGGAGGAGGAGGAGGAGGAAGAGGAAGAGGAATATGATGATGACGATGATGTGATGATGATGATGATGATGATGAGATGAGGATGAGGATGAGGATGAGGATGATGATGATGATGATGATGATGATGATGATGATGATGACGAGGATGAGGATGAGGATGAGGATGAGGATGATGATGATGAGGAGAGGAGGAGGAGGAGGAGGAGGAGGAGGAGGAGGAGGAGGAGAGGAGGAGGAGGAGGAGGAGGAGGAGGAGGAGGAGGAGGAGGAGGAGGAGGGGGGCGGAGAAAGCAGGACGAGGAACCAGATGGAAAGTTCAGTGGGATGGGATGGGGGGGAGAAGAAGAAGAAGATGATGGCAGCGAGGGAAGGACGTTTTGGTCTCCACGTGTCCTCGTCCTCCCTCCTCGTCTCTCTCCTTTGTCCCTCGCCCTTCCTCAGTATCGGCCATTCTTTCCCTTCTCTCTCTCTTTGTCCCTTTCCCTCCTGATGCTCATGATGCTCGTCGTCGTCGTCCTCCTCCTTCTCCTCCTCGCCCTTCTCAATCTTTGATCGGCTTGTGTGCTCCATGGGGACGAATGCTTACCCCCTCGAGGACACTATCCTCCACAGCCGAGATCTTTTGTCATCGTAATCATCTCAGGTTTATCCATGCCGAGAGATCTTGCATGTCAGAGTGAGGGATCAGGACCTCTGAACTTCGGCCCGTTGGCTATTGCGTTGGCGTTTTTGTTTAGTGGTCCGCGTGATTATCATGAACGCGCCTTTTGGGTGCCCCCAAGGGCCGTCTTGGCTCGTCTTGGGACTTTTCGGAGCAGTCGCCCTCAGACGGCTGTCTTGGGGTCGCACGGGGGGCATCGCATGACCTCTGGGCTTCACGTAGGTATCCTGCTCGTCGTCGTCGTCGTGGTCGTCGTCGAGGAAGAAGGATTTTATTGTGTGGTTTGTTTTTGTATTTTCCCCTGCCTCCTTGGGCTTCGTCGCCGCCACGGCCGCATCCGTATCGAGATCCTGGTCGGAGCGCGCCCCCGGCGAGGCCACGTGCGGATCCGCAGCGATTCTGGCCCGAGGCCATGCTGCGTGTCGGGGCGCCCCCGGGGGCGGAGCGAGCGGGCGCAGTTCGCGCTGGCCGCAAGGTCTGGGGACGAGGCTCGACAGGTCTCGTCTGCGAGAGCAAGATTCGTCACGCTACGCGGTCGGAGTCCAGGGGGGGCCCCGTCCCAGAGCGGCCCGGGCCTCGTCGCGGTGGTGCGAGCAGGGTCGGGGGGCAGGGGATGGCGGGCGCGAGCGCTACCACCGCAGCGCTCGGTTCGGCTGCCCCGAGGGGCCACCATGATGGGCCTGCTTTCCACCATCACCACCATGAGCTAGAGGGGGGAAGGAGGAGGAGGACGAGGAGGAGGACGACGAGGAAGAGGAGGAGGAGGAGGACGAGGAGGAGGAGGAGGAGGAGGAGGAGGAGGAGGAGGAGGAGGAGGAGGACCCCCTCCCCCTCCAACTTATGGTGGTGGTAGTGGCAAACAGGCCCATCACACCACCTTGAGCTCATCCTCGCGAGGGCCGTGCCGACCGTGCAAGAGATCGACCAACTGTGGGAGTGCCTTGGCGAGCTGGCGCGCTCCCTCGCGCCGCTCGGGCGGGTTTGGCGCTTGGCTCCCTTCGGGAGCGTGCGGAATCTGCTCCTCACCCGCGGCTCGGACATCGACGTCACCATCTACAGGTCGGACGCCCAGGACGAGGGCGACATGGCCGTGGCACTGCGGGTCCTGCAGGGATGTCTGCTTCCGCTGCTGTCACAGAACCCGCGGTTCGAGATTGTCAGGCTCGTCTCCGGGGCCAGGATCCCCATCCTGAGCCTGCGCTTCGACGGCGCCGTGGACGTGGACCTCTCCTGCCACAACACGGAACCGCTGCGGAACTCGCAGCTGCTCCGCGCCTACGCGCAGGCGAGCCCGCTGGCGCGGGGCCTGGTGCTGCTGGTGAAACTCTGGTCCAAGGCCGCTGGCGTCTGTGGAGCGCAGGGCGGGAACCTCACCTCCTACTCCCTGGCGCTGATGGTGCTCTATTTCCTGCAGGTCCACCCCGACTTCAGGCTGCCAGTGCTCTCCACGCGGCTGTTCGATGGCTTCTGGCCGCCGCCCGCCACGCAGCCCTGGGAGTGCGAGACCCCGCTGCCCGAGGCGCTGCTGCAGTTCTTCGCCTTCTACTCCGGGGAGTTCGAGTGGGGCCGCGAGGTCGTCTCGGTGCGGCTCGGCCGGCGGTGCGGGGCCAGCGGCGAGGAGTTCGCCTCGCTGCCGAACGCCACGGACAATGTCCACGCCCAGGAGTTCCCCCCGTCCACCGATGTGGAGGCGCGGCCCCGAAGCTCTTGGGCAGCGTCGGACTGGGATGCCCGCGCCTCCCGCCCCCCGAGGGGCGGAGGGAGGCCTCGCGCACCCGGCGCTCCGCGAGAGGCCCATGGGCGGCCGTGACTCCACCTCGGTGGGGCGCGGGCGGCGGGCTCCCGGGCGTGGGGCCGTCGCCTGCACGTGGAGGACCCTTTCCTCCTCGGCAGGAACCTCTGATGGGCAAGTTTTCCACCACCGCTACCATATGTAGGACGGGAGAGAAGGGAGGATGAGGAGGTCCTCCTCCTCCTCCTCCTCCTCCTCCTCCTCCTCCTCCTCCTCCTCTTCCTCCTCCTCCTCCTCCTCCTCCTGCTCCTCCTCCTCCTCCTCCCTCTCCTGCCTTGGTAGTGGTGGCGGACAATGGGCCCATCAACCTCAACTGCGTTCTCGGCCTCGAGCAGGAGGCCCTGCTGCTGGCGGCGCTGCGGGCCGCCGAGGCCGCGCTGCGGGGCGGCGGCTCGCCGCCGGGCCTGGGCCGTGCGGAGGGGGGCTCCGCCGCCGGGCCGGCCGCCGCTGGGGGCAGCGGCGGCCTGCGCGAGGCTCGCCCCGCGGGGCCACCGCCCGGGCTCTTCCTGAGTTGAGCCGAGCAGGCCCAGCCCAGCGGCACGTCATGGGGCGGACTGCCGGGCTGGGCCCAGGGGTGGTGGTAGTGGTGGTGGTGGATATCATGGCCAGGGCGATGACATCTCCCCCGATTTCGTGGCGCCCTTCTATTTGCTCACGTCTCCGGCCCCCCCCTCTGGGCCGCGCACATGCCGCTGGCCACGATTTGTGCTCCCCCCCTCTTGGACGCCCCCGAAGTAGCTCCTTGATCTGCTCGGACAGCTGAGCATTTTCCTGCAAGAATATTCTCGCGTGGCCCAGCGGCACTGCACGAGGGAACGCAGGACCGAGTTGGCCTCTCGCCAGAACACCGACTGCGAAGCTTAGGGGCTGGAGGTGTGAGGACATTTCTGTGCTTCTCGCAGAAATGTGTGGCTGTCGAGCTGCACCTATTGTTTGTTTTGCACGTGCATCTGGCTTCCTGTGCTTCTCTGTCCTCCTCCTCCTCCTCATCCTGCTCCGCCTCCTCCACCACCTCCTCCTTCTCCTCCTCCTCCTCCTCCACTGCTTCGCTGTCGTGAGGCGCTCTGTTTTTCCCTACCTAGGCTCTGCCTAGAAGGGTTCTTACTCGCTTGGCGTAAAGGGAGGGGCCGGGCAGTGCAAACCGCCCCGGGTGGTTCCCCCAGTCCCCTGGGAGCCAAGCAAAAGCAACAGCAAAGGTAAAAGCAAACGCGCGGTTCCCCCAGTTGCGCTCCCTGGGTGCCGAGCAAAAGCAAAAGCAAAGGCAAAAGTGAAGGCAAACACGAAGGCAAAGCAAACTCAAAAGCATAACATAGCAGATCATAGCATAGCATAGCATGGCGCAGCATAGCATAGCGCAGCATATCATATCATATCATAGCATAGCATAGCCTGGCCTAGCCTAGCCTAGCCCAGCATAGCATTTCGCAGCATAGCATAGCATAGCATAGCATAGCATAGCATAGTATAGCATAGCATAGCATAGCATAGCATAGCATAGCATAGCATAGCACAGCATATCATAGCATAGCATAGCATAGCATATCATAGCATAGCATAGCATAGCATAGCATAGCATAGCATAGCATAGCATATCGCAGCACAGCATCCACTATTGCTGCTGCTATATATCCGTAAGGGCTTCGCCCCCTGCCGCCGGCCCCCTCTCTCGGAGAATGGGCCATGGAAGAGCAGGTTTTGGACCCTGACCCCGCGGATCTGCGTGAGGGGTGGCACCGAATTTCAGAAATGTGGCAAATCCCCTGTGTTTTTGGACCCTGACCCCGCGGATCTGCGTGAGGGGTGGCACCGAATTTCAGAAATGTGGCAAATCCCCTGTGTTT